TATAACTTATAGAACATACTTTTCTAACGTTCATGAAGTAAACTCAAATGTATTACTTACTACTCTAATTGTATAGATGCTTTCAGCAAAAGCCAATGTCTACCGGTTTCCAGCATTTTCTAAATATCTCATTTATAGCAAACTCTCCTTTAAAGATAAAGAAAACCAACGACTATTATAACCCTGGACCATTATTTTTTAGTCAGTATATTTTGGGGATATTGTATGGGTTAAAATTCATCTATTCATTAATTTTCCTTTAGCTTGGTCTTTATTTAAGAGGTCACCACAGGGAATAAACCACCAACTATTCCAGCATACGTTTTACAGAGCGTTTGTGATTCTGGCCGCAACCCAGTATTGGGAAACACCCATACACACTCACTCACACACACACACACACACACACACAATGGCCAATTTAGTTTATTCAATTCACAAAGTGTGTCTTTGGACTGTGGGGGAAAACAGGAGCACCTAGAGGAAACCCATGGGAACACAGGGAGAACATGCCAACTCCACACAGAAATGCCAACTGACCCAGCAGGGGCTCGAACCAGTGACCTTCTTGCTGTAAGGCGACAGAGCTAATCACTGAGCCACCATGTCACCCATGTCTTTTTATTTTATGTCCAAAAATGATTAGGATATTAAGTACAGATAATCATTTTGTTAATTACCTCCCATAAATATACTAAAGGCTACATTTTAATTAGTGATGTGCACTGCTAAACACTTTACTTTAATAGACAATGACTTTCCCAATATTCTGATGATTTTGAACCCTCAGATTCCGCATTTTCAGGTAGTTGTCTATCAGCCAGTTATTGTAAGATCCTAACAAACCAATTAACAGCTTAATTATTCAGGCATAATTCTCCAAAGACAATGGACACTTATGACTGGTTTTGTGATCCAGGATGACAATTATTAAATTCGTGCTGAAATAGCAAACACTGTCTAATTCCAGACTATTTCACCATCAAGAGCTTTTGTATTTTATGAAACTGCATTCAGAAGCAGGATATTTTAAAAAGAAAATCATGAAGGTTTTGAACAGTAAAGTAAACTTAGCATTTTTAGTGAACTGTCGCTTTAACTGAAACCAGCAGTATCAGCAATAATAAGTGGGTTTGATCTTCAGTAACATCTCAGAGCATGATAATACATCAGAATCTCTAACATAAGATAAAAAGATCTCAATCCTACTCCGTGAGCTCCTTTCTCTCTAATCTTAAGTCTGCACCCAAACAAAGACTAGTGTTCCACAATAACCCCCTTCACTGCTCAAGGATCTCCAAGGCAAGGGATTGAAACTTTATTAGGGTCAAGCTTACCCTGCTGGCTTTTGTCCTCAACTGGAACAATTAAACATTAAAAGCAGGAAATATATCTGCCACGCTGACTCTATTATTTTCTAACTGAGAGAGCTCCACTGAAAAAAAAAAAAAAACTCAGATTGATTTGTTGTTATTTACATTGCAGTGTTCACTCAATGAAAGCTAAATGAATCAGGATGATTTGGCATCCTCTTAAAGGAATACACACTACCCAAAACTTCTGTCACCATTTGTTGACCGTCTTGATTTATAATTTAAGATATTTTAAGAAACGCCTAAGAGTTGTTGTTTTTTAGCATTCATGCAATAAGGCCCAAAGTTTGCATTCTCAAGTTTTTTTTTATTTTTGTGTGTTTCTCAGAATAAAGACAGACATGGGTCAGAGACGGGGGTGGGAAGGTGGGGGGTTATATGCCAAAAATCCTGATGTTAGGCATATTTGGAAGACAAATCATTTTATGACATATTAAAAGCCTTGTTCACAGCGCCAGCTCAAAATAATTTATTATCACTATCCTCCAGACCACTATAGGTTTTACCCACTTTTCAGCAAGAAACTTAAAATTCAGCAAAACTTTTGAGCGATCACGCATCATTTTATTTATTTTTTTTAAGCACAGGTCAGAATTTTTATTTATTTATTTTTTCTTTTTCTTTTTTACACCTATTCCAAACATATGCAGAATAATGATCAAACATTGATTTATCCATATTTGGACTTTATTTTCATGAGTGTTATTGTAAACATTAAAAATAACAATTTTTTACATTTAATACAGAAATGCTTAAATTAGGGCCCGCGGGCCAAAGCTGGCCGATGGTAACCTTTAGTTTGGCCCGCCATCCTATTAGAGAAGAAAGGGAGAATGATGGCGATGGCTTAGAGATCAAATTTAACTTAACCTTTTATTTGTTTATTGTTACACTACAAAAAAAACTAACTGAAATTAAACGCTTTAATTTAAATGATGTCAATTAATCAAATTTAGTTTAAAATGTACATCCTGTGACACAACGTATAGAGGACTTTGGTTAGCAAATCAAGGCAAAGGCAGATTCTGCTTGACTAGTGTTCAGTGTTGAGAAACTCTGTGTTAACACTGTTATAAATGTGATTGTTAATGTTTTTATTGCAATAGTCAAAGTTAAATACGTTACACTGCATTAGGTAATACAATTCAAATTAATGTTTTTTAATTATTTTTTAAATATTAGGAAATAAATTAGAAAAATCCCTCATGGCAACTTTGACATAAAAAAGTTTGGTATATTTATCTTACCTATCTAGTTTGAGCACCCCTGATTTAATGTGTATTAATTCACTTTTGTACATTTAATGTGACCCAGAAAACAAAACTGGACGTCATTTTTGGTGTGAATACTTGTTTGCAACAACACTGGAGAAAAACTGACAGCATTTTTCTATTTTGGGTGGCGTCCCTTTAAATGCAAGATCACATATTCGTCTAATGGATCTAATGAATATTTGGCCACAGAAATGCCTTCAGATTAACATCACAGGAATGAAGATAAAGCTTTTTATATTCTTATTGCACCAATGGTGCAAATCACTTGCAGACCTTGTACTGCATTACATAAAAATGTTGTATCACATTAGAGCCATGCACATGACCTATACACTGCAGTAAATAATCAGAGTTATTATGAGATGTAAAATGGAAATGGATTTTGTCCTTTCATTTCTTATACTATAGAGAAATCAAATAGCTTTGTTAGAAATCCATCAGTTATAATTTACTTTGTTAGAAATCCATCAGTTATAATTTACTGCTAAATTAACAATACTGCTTAAAAACAAAAGTAACTAATAGTATTCCACATGTACAATGCCTGTCAATGTCAATGACAAGTCTTTCATGCTATGACGTAACTGCATTTTAAAGCTGAAGCTCATGACAGACACTAAAAGCCGGAAAACATGTCTGACTGGAAAAGATGTGAAAAGCTGTGCACCTTCTGATGTAACAATCTGTAGATCTGATTTAAGGTAAATGTTCAGAAGGGCCACACAATACACAACAGTGTATTGTTATGGGCACATTCACAACAATGTGCTAAGTCAGCAAATACTGCACACTGAAACTTTAGTAGGCCATGTAAATGCATTTGAAGGAAAATGAGCTTTTCTCAGGACAGCAATTCCTCTTATTCTATACTGGGAATATAATACTATTAATTTAATTCATTCATTTATCATTTATTTATTTATTTATTGCCATGTCAGCTACTAAGGCTACTATTAATTTAATTTAATAGCCTATGGCAATATTTCTTAGGCTGAAAAATCTATTTATACAACAAAATGACTTAAAACTTTGCTATGATGGATGCTTTAAATATCTGAATTAAAAGCTAATATTGATTTTCTCTGTGGGGCTGAAAGTCAGATACTACATTTTTCAAAGATTATGAAAGTATTTAATACAAAGGATGAAACTATTCATTTCTGTCCACTAAACTGTATTTAAATGTGTAAACACAGTAGTCCATTTTAATAATTGTTGTACCACTTGACATTGTTTGTGAGTGTTGCTAAATCAGAATATCACAGAAAAAATGCTGGGTGCAAAGAAACACAAATCACAAAACACAAAGTTAACTAAATTGTTTTTGCATTTAAGTGGATTGAACATAAATAAGTTGTGGCAAAAAATAAAAAAAAAAAACAAGAACTGTGTTGCTTCAGCTTATTTTAATAAAAGTAGTTCGAACAACCAGCAAAAATCATGGTTGTACCACTTGACATTTATTAACGTTAGCAAGTGAGAATAAGCACCATAAAAAGCTGGGTTCTACACAAATCCTTCATGTTATCCCAACACAAATCAATTAAGTTAATGTAATAATTTTCACCAATTTAAGTAGACTGAACGTAAAACAATTAAGTTGGCACCCAAAGAAACTTAAGAATTAGAACACACTATATTTTGATGGTCCGTTTGTTACATTGCATCTACAGGTCAACTAATTCTCATTCATTTTCTTTTCGGCTTAGTCCCTTTATTAATCTGGGGTTGCAATAGCGGAATGAACCGCCAACTTATCCACCGTGGGAAATATCCATACACGCTCATTCACACACACTTACACTATGGTCAATTTTAGCTTACCCAATTCAACTATACCACGTCTTTAGACTTGTATCAACAGACATTAAGCAGACAGTCTAATAATACTCAAATAGACTATAAAAAATAAAGTGTTACCGAATGATGTTGTTTCAACTCACTTTAATTGGGTAGTGTAAACAAGCAACACAATTATTATTATTATTTTTTTGATTGTGTGTTTGTGTGGAGGGGGGGGGGGTGGTATCCTTAAGCCTGTTACTATTTTGGAAAATGTATGAAAGCAACATGAATGTATAGATATAAATGTTTCTAAAAGCTAAAAATATATTTCCTACTATATTCTTTTTAAACACATTGTCTAATTGCCTTATCCGAAATAATTTCTTAATAAATCCTTAATTAGAACATGATTATCCAAACGAATCATCTTTCAATCAGTCTTTTGGAGTAGTGAAATATATCCCCTCAGGCACTCTGGAAAACCTGTCAAACAAGGACTCACCTGCTGCAGCTGATGATAAGTCACTTTTAAAGTACTGGAAATGACTAAATATATATCTGAACTCACCTTGGAGCTCACACTGAGTCTATCTATGCGCATGTCCCCATTTGTCTCCGGGACTGGGGTGGATTCTCTGGATGATGTCCCGTTCTTCACTTCATCTTCAGGCTCGGATCCAGCAGGAATTGGTATCCCATCAGTCACATACTCTTTCTGGCACTTCAAATTGTGCTTCAGCAGCAGTTCTGCGGTCTCTGCGTTCAACACCACGAGCTCCAGTTTGCCCACGGTGTCTCGTATGCGGGACACCACCTGTTGATGCTTCTCGTCCTCAACATTTTCCCCGTTGACCAGAGCTAGTTTGTCCCCGGCCAGCAGACCGGCGGCGGCGGCCGGAGAGTCGGGCTCCACATGACGGATGAACTGACCGGGCTTGTTCTTCTCGCCGTGGAGATGAAACCCGTATCCGGTGTCCCCTTTTTCTAAGACGCACAGCTTTGGCCTGAGGTCGCTGGACATTTTGAAAGTTTAAGACTTAGAGGCAGCCTACTCAACACCAGCAGTCCGGGTAAACTTGACGTTGAAGGAAAACCAGAAAAGTGTATTCGTGAAGTGAAAACTGGGCCACGCACTCCGCCTCTTCACTGTGTTGCAACTCCGTAAGTCAAATCGCAGTTTTCTTTGAAGTGTGGCCAGTCAGCGCTTCACAGCCCCGCCCTCTCCTGGAACTCTCGCTGGTTGGAACTTTCACCTGTCAATCACGGGAACGTCATTGCGCGAGATCTGGCTTAGTTTTCAAGTGTTTGTGCGTGGCATCTGTGTTTCCAAGTACTTTAGGTTTATGAATTATATGAAATAGCCTACGTATTTCTAGACTCTATGATCGTTTGGCAAGCTTTCTTTCATTACTTCCACATCTCTTCCTCTTTATGTATATTATTCTTGTACTTTGTTTTTACATTGAAGCTGGTGAATAGAACAAATTAAATAATGGAGCTATTGTTAAACACCATATCCAAGCAAAATGGGATAATGAAGCAATTGTATATTTATAATTAAAGAGCCCCGTAGCCAGAGGGGTTTGGGGCTCGAAAGACCTACCCCTCAATGACAAAGGTCCAGAATTTGTCCTACATGAGCAGCTCATTTGTCCTATTTTGACTGCTACACCATCATAAATTGTAAAAATGACCCATTGAAAAATGCTGTAAGACCAAGTCAAATCATCTGTTGACCGTCACATCAGCGTGACTTCAGCTAATCAGTTTTGGCCAGTGCTAACCATTATTTTTCATTAGTCCAGCTTTCATCCAGCCGTGCAAGTGAATATATAATCTGAGGTAAGTGTTGTCATCTTTCACTATTGTTTTGTTTTTAAATAGAGAAAACATTTACAAGTTACTTTTATTCAAAATCTTGGACCTTATTCTTGAAACAAAAATTGACCAATAAAAAGGTGTGAAGCACCAAAAGTGGCCCACATTAAAATGAATTTGAATACTAGCTATTGTTGTTATCCTTGAATTTTCAAACAAATTTACCAGAAAGGCTAAAAGAAATGTGAAGCTCTTTTATTATTAACATGTTTTCATTCATTATCGAAATGGCCAAATTCTGCCGAATTCTGATTTCTGAGGAAAGTTGGATGTGCTGGACAGTTTGTTATTTGCCTAATAAATGGCAATAGGCTACAGTTTAAAAACAGATTCCTTTTTTCTAATGATATATGATGTAATAAATCTGTTTTTTTATTAATAAGCATTTATTAATTTTTCTTTATTCTGAATATTTTGGTAAATCAAAAAGTGTGGTTATGATGACCATCGACAAGCTCATCCAACTTAAGATGTCACTAAAATGCAGTATTTAAACCTCATAAATAAATAGAAAATGAGGCAAATAACAGCAGAAAGCTCCACATTTTGAGAAAAAAACACCCCTTTTCACCAGGCTGACTACAAGCCTGTTAAATATAGCCTTATAGTCATAATTAAGTGAATTAACACTTATTTTTATATTATTTAAATGTTTGCATAATTTCAAACAGCAAACCGAAGATGGTATAAAATATTTAAGATGCTATCATTTTTAAACATTTATCATACCTGAATTGTTTTAGGGTTATATGAAATGTGGACACTTATTATTAATTTATTAATTCATTTTCTTTTCAACTTAGTCCCTTTATTAATCTGGAGTCGCCACAGCGGAATGAACCACCAACTTAGCCAGCATATGTTTTACGCAGCGGATGCCCTTTCAGCTGCAACCCAGCACTGAGAAAACACTTATTATGTATTATGTTAATATATATTTTATATATTTTAAATATTCCTTTTATTAATTTATGTTAATTACTTAAAGATAATTGTATAAATGTTGAATGTACAAATGTAATATACTAAAGCTGGCCCATGATAACCTTTGATTTGACTCGCCATTCCCATAAGTAAGGAAGAATGATGGGGATGGTTTAGAGATTGACAATTCAAATTTAAAGTAGCCCTTTTTGTTTGTTTGGTTTGTTTGTTTTATTGTTAAAAGCAAACTGAAATTAAATGTTTTAATTAAATAGCCTAAATTAATCAGATTTTGTTAAATGTACAAACTTTCACCTGACAATGCAGAGACTTTGGTGAGCAAATCAAGTCCAAAGCAGATTCTGCTTGACTGGAGTACTCAGCATTGAACTCCACTGTGTTTTAAATGTGATTGTTTATGGTTTTATTGCAATATGTTATCATTTTAAAAAGTTATTCTGCATTAGCTAACATGATTTAAAGCAATATTTCTGTTTATTTAAAAATATTGGGAAATAAATACGGAAATTACCCATGGCATCTTTAATGTAAAATAGTTTGGTATATTTACCTTCGACCCAAGGCTCTCAATGATACAAAAAAAAGTCTAAAATGTGATTTAAATCATAAAGCATCATTATGATGATCTGATTCTTGCCTTTTACTAGCTAATAAATACTTATTCCAGTACTGAAAAGCGGGAGTGGCTTAATCTTGTTACTCTGGCAACCTTTTGCTTTCTTCCATCATAATCTGTGCAATAAAATAGATAAAGACTTGCTGATTTCCTTGCGAACTTTATCTGCCTGTCGACATACCTGAGCAGTTATAAGAATCACACCCTAGATATTGTTACTGTTTAATCGCAAAGAGGATCCACTCCTTTAAATGTTAAACTTAAAGGGACAATTCAGCCAAAAATTAAAATGATCTCATCCTTTTGCCTTTCAATGGTTCTACACCTGTTTGAGTTGCTTTCTTTTGTTGAACACACACACAAAAAGGTCATTTAGAAGAATGTCAGAAACCAATAGGCATATTAATTTCTGTACTCTTAATTTAAAGGCTACCAGCTTCCAACATTCTTCAAAGTATCTTTTTGTGTTCATTTTTAAATGTTAATTTGTGTGCAAACTATCAATTTAAACACAATAAATGTTCAAAGACAAAGACAAATCGACACTTTGGGTTAAGTTCTATCTGCGTTCTGAAGGATTTTGAGATGATGAGCTTCAAAGTTTTTGCATTCCATAGCAACCTGTATGTGTGTAACATTAGTTTTTTTTTTTTTTTTTAAATAAAAAGTCTTAAAATGTAAACAACTTAAAAAAACATCCCATAATGTAAACAAGTTGTCATTTAATAAGAATATGTGAATAACTCAATTTTGACAAAAATGTCAGATAGAACCTTAAAATTCTAAGGTGACGAAATATCTGTAGCATATGTGCTCTTTAAATTCGTGTGAAAAGCAATAAAGTTTGTTATAGTCAACATCACCATGCTCCTGTTCTTGGCTTCGCATGTCTAAATTGAGTTGTTTAGCATTAAAGGGTACGGATGTTGTGAAATAAGGCAAAATTACAAAAAGTTAACTCTGGGTAATTGTAAACTCCATGTAAACATATCCTGAGTTATCTTGCTTCATGTTTCACACTACTCATTTATTACGTGGGGTTAACAATTAAACCTGAGTATTCTGGGTAATCTACTGTAGCATCATACCAGTCCTCGTGTCAGCATATCAAGATGAAAATCACCTAGGCCTATCTTTTATCACAATGACTGCCTTCAGTGATATTGAACGTTACGACAGAAAGATTGTGACAGAGTAGCTAAATGCAACACTAGCTGACACATTTGTAACCGTTCCATAAACAAGTTATTGCTTCAGCAGAGTTGATACACACATGCGGAGCACACAGTGAGGAAGTGAGAGACTCGAGGCCACATCTTTCCTTTGCACTCAAATCCTGATGCGTCCCGCCATCTAGTGGCGTTTATAAAACTGCACTAAGAGGGGAAATCTTGAGAGGATACAGCTGCGGATATGCACATTAATACAGCATCATTTTTGTGAAACTGTATACAATAATATTTTTACTGTGACGGTTGGGGTGGGGGTAGACGTTAATACAATTTATTGGGTAATATAATAAAAAACACAAATAGTACTCGATACAACTACTATATATTCCCGTCACGTCTGTGTTTAGGAGGCTGTTTGCTCACTTCATTCGTTTTATTCTGATCTGATCGCTCAAACCACTTCAGAAGGTGATCTGGGATGCATTCCAGATGAAACTGGACAGGTATAATTATTTTTTTAGACAAAATTAATGTAAACAAAATATATCATGACCTGGAGGAAATCTGACCTGCGCCTGAAACACCTAGGTGCGCTTTTACAGACAAAATACTATTAAAACGTTTACTATAAGCATAAAACATGTTCTAACTTTTCAGGCCTTTAGCCAGGGAGGGTCGAAAGACCCACCCATCACTGACAAAGGACCAGAATTTGTCTAATACATGAGCTCATTTGTCCCATTTTGACTGCTATGCCGTCCTGAGTAACGAAAATAATCCATAAAGGCTTTAAGACTAAACGGAGTCCTCTGTTGGCTGTTGCTTTGGTGGGACTATAATCTGATGTAAGAGAAGTCTTCTTTCACTACTGTATTTTTTTTAAACAGAGAAAACATTTTAAAGGTAATTTTATTCTAAATCTTGGACCTGAAATTAAAATGAGCAATAAAAGTTGTGAGGCAGCAGCAGCGGACCATATTACATTTATTTGAATATATTTTGGCTATTGTTGATATCCAGGAATTTTCAAATGTACTGCAGAATTCATTATAATTGTTTTATTATTATTATTATTATTATTATTATTATTATATTATTATTGTTTTATTGAAATGGCCAAATTGTGACTAATGACAGCTGAATGTGCTGGCCAGTGTGTTTACTGTCTACTAAATTATAGTAGGCTACAGTTGTTTTACTTTAAAACTTTAACAGATTGCTATTTTTTTCCGAATCATTATGTAATAAATTTGCATTTTAAAAAATTTGTCTTGTTTGAATTTTTTTATTGCAATTTTTTAGGAAATATTTTAAATACATCAAAAAGTGTGGTTATGATGTCATCTGACTAGTTAATCCTGCAAAATGCAGTATTTAAATTTTATAGTATTAATTAATTAATATTTTATCCATAACACACAGTAAATAAAAATAGTAGTTAATAGTTACATAAAAAGCAACAACATGCAAATAAAAAGCCATCGGCCTTTAATTTTATTCATAGGATCGTCATCATGTATTAAATTAAATACTTTATATTAACAACACAGACTGATTTTATA